AAGGTCATATAGAAAAGCACTGATGATGATATGCAGTTACTCAAGATTTGTGTTCTTTTCCTAATATTTGATATAGGAATTAGAGCACAATCACATTTTACCATCTGGATGTCTGTGTTCTCATGTAACATGTGGCACACCTATCATTCCAAATGAGCCCAACTAGCATCATTCCAGATGCCTGATTTAATTCTGTAATGCTCTCACGACCCCCTGCTCTTTCCACTTTAGTGGAACTTAAGTGCTGCAATAACAGTACTTGATTAACAATCATAGAATCATAGAATGAGCCAGGTTGGAAAAGACCTCTGTGAGAACATCAAGTCCAACCCCTGATCCACTACTGCTGCGGTTACTAGACCATGGCACTAAGTGCCACATCCAGTCTCATCTTAAAAACCTCCACGGATGGAGAATCCACCTCTTCCCTGGGCAGCCCATTCCAATGTCTGATTACCCTCTCTATAAAGAATTTCTTCCTAATATCTAACCTAAACCTCCCCTGGCAGAGCTTAAGACCATGTCCTCTTGTCTTCCTGATAGCTGCCTGGGAGAAGAGACCAACCCCCACCTGGCTACAACCTCCTTTGAGGGAGTCATAGAGTGATGAGGTCTCCCCTGAGCCTCCTCTTCTCCAGGCTGAAAAACCCCGGCTCCCTCAGCCTCTCCTCATAGGACTTGTGTTCAAGTCCCTTCACCAGCCTCGTTGCTCTTCTCTGGACCTGCTCCAGCACCTCAATATCCTTCCTGAACTGAGGGGCCCAGAACTAGACACAGTACTCCAGGTGTGGCCTCACCAGCGCTGAATACAGGGGAAGAATCACTTCCCTGGTCCTGCTGGCCACACTGTTCCTGATACAGGCCAGGATGCCATTGGCCTTCTTGGCCACGTGGGCACACTGCTGGCTCATGTTCAGAAGGACACTCAGCAAGTCTCCATGACCTGCTTCTCCCTCTACTGCATTCACCCATCTCAATTATCCTTGCTATACTGAACATAGGCCTTCTAGGTCTAGCTAAAGATATAATATCTACATATTCCCAGTCAAGCCATTAACTGATATCCTACCCACTGGAAGTTAGGTGTGGTTTTTATGAGGTCAATGGCTAGACTTAGGATCTCAAGCTGCCCTTTCTTGGGTGGAATTTATTTTAACCTGATTTTAACCCATGCCCGTCAACAATCTTTACCAAGATCTGTAACACTAATGTATCATGCTCCTGGCAATTATGTACACTACACCTAATCACATGAATATCAGATAATACAGTAGTTACAAGCTTAATGCAATTGTCTGAAGACTAGATAAAGCCTTTGTTCAGGGCACTATGCCAGCCACAGTCAGATGCTGAATTCCTGAATTCCAGCTATTTTTACTTTATTTTTAATTTCCTTCTTTCAGTAAATACCCAAGTATTTACCCAAAGGCAATGAAAATAAATCTTTTCCAGGAGCCCACAGGAATACACCGAAGAGTTTCATTCCACAGCAGCCCAAGGGCTTCAACAGGAATCACCACTGGGTGTCTTCTATAACTATGTTACTCTCTGGGTTTGCAGATATTTTGGTATTTAACACACATCTAGATATTCATTTATTTTTTTTTACCTGCTGAGTTCACAGATTTTTCCTCAGAAAGGAGGTAAGATAACACAGGAAACTGTCATGACCTGACACACAGAAAGATATTTATTTACAAAATCATGACAGGTAATGGTCACAATGACCCCAAGAATAGGACACCATGCAAAACTACAAGGAAAGAAAATAGGTAATTATCTATAAGCCAGTTTAAAAATTAAATCCAGCCTCTGGCAACCACCTGTCCATGCTGTAAAGAACTGGACAAGATTTTTCACACAAGGCGGCAGCACGGACTTCACATTATACATGGCAAAAAGGTTTAAAGTATAGCAAGGCTACAAAAACATCACATCCTTCCATGTTACATATAGCAAACCCATTTTTTCTCAGGAAATAGGCACCTATGCAAAGGGCACAGCACTTGGGAGAGCTTAAGCAGAAGAGGCCAAGTATAAAGCAGCAAAGAGGTCTCAATGAGCAGCCAGCTCAGAAAGTGAGAACCTGCCCGCAGCAGGAAGCTTGGCCAGCTACCTAAACACAGAACTCCTACCAGGAGCCCCCCACTTAGCCAGGCCTTACACAAAAGCAGTGATCTGGTCACCCCTACCTACCTTTAACTCCAGGAAAAGCCAGATCCCTGAGAGCACATGTGCTGCAAGGAGCACAGCTGACAACAGCAGGCGTGCTGCATATTCATAAATACTAATTAGCAAATGATGACGTGCAGTGCGCAGCTCTCTGGCTCCAGTTTCCCTCCTAGTGCTGAATGACACCATCTGAAGTGGATCTGAGCAAGCAGGGTTTCCTAGTTCTGCTTTCCAGCTCCCCGAAACACTACACAAGAGTTCTGTTGCTAAGTCTGTGGGATTTAACTCTTTATGTGTACAATGGGCCCATGTCCCCCACTCTGCTTTCCAAGCCTGCTGCACACTGTGCTGCCAAACCACACCAGAGTCCACCCACCAACTCCCAGACAAACATTAACATGCATTCCATCATTTCTTGATTCTTTTGTAAATAACATTCATTTTCCTCATGTAGGACATCAGTACAGGAATAAGGGCATGTATGTTAGGCAATTCAGCCCCCTCACTCTTCATCCCAGCCTCACCCCTCTAACTCAGGTAACCTGTGACCCCGTGCAGCCTTTCCGGCAATAAAGGCACAGGGCAGCAATAAGCCACTACACCGTCCAGTAAATACCAACTGAAGCAATGAGGAAAGGTTTTTCTTTAAGTGTGCAAAGGAGTACAGGAGGAAAGCTGAAAGATTTGCAAGTCTTTATAGTTAGTACGATTAAAAAGCACGTCAGAGGGATTTTCTTATATTTTTAATCAGCCTGCAATTTAGAGCTGCTATCTTTAATCTGTGCTACCACAGAAACCATGCAATCAACAACTGGTTGCTAACTTTTTTGATATCAAGAGCTTGACATAAGCAAAGGTCCTCAAGGACCTAGTAGTTAATTAGGGGTTATTAAAACTAAACAGCAAAGAAAGCATAGGAGAATTTACTAAATCTGCTAAAACATGAGCTAGAGATTACAGAAGCCCACAGGAAAAAAAAGGAGAAGGAACAAAAGTAGCAAGTCAGATAGATAAGGGCTTCTATGCTGCAACTTTGATAAGACGGCATCCAAAAGTTAAAGAGAACAAATAAAGGTGGAAATGAAGAACAGATGAAACTGTGACAGCATCCAATAATGCAGTGTGTTCTTTTCCAAAGAATTTTATACCTCCTTAGAAGCTTAGAAAGTTCCCTGCTTTGCCTGGTGTTATATATGTTTTCCTTTAGCTAGACTTGACAATTTACAAAACAATAGATGATGACAGAACTCCTTTAAATCTATACACATATGCAATAGATTAAACCTTTCCTAACATCTCTGAAGTTGCTTACTTGAAATTCCAGCATACTCAAATGCTATGTCTCCTCCAACAAAGAGGAAAAGTGTCCAAAAGATAAGATTCAAATCAATTCAGAAATAACTGATGAAAACAGGAATTTGAAAACAAGGTAAAAAAATGTCCAGAAAGAATGGATTCAGGTCAGAATACAAGTAACAAAACTGCTCTGTAAAGAAAGCAGAAAATGCTATAAGGAAATTTGAGTAAATAAATAGCTAAAATACCCCCAATCTCACAGAAACCCCTTATGTTTTTCCAAACAGGTAAACAGCCATTTTAACTGCTGCCAGGGGACTGATGAAAAGGTCCTGGTGGCATCACAGGACATGCACACTAAAAAACAGGACTCATTTTTCTATGGTTCTAAAGAAAAAGGAATGCCATTAGATGGACTCATTCAAGGGGATTTGTTGGTCAAGTACTACTGACACCCAAATGTTAAATGTGGAAGATGTCCCTGACTAGAATCAGTAAGCATTGCCAGAGCCAGATTTTCCATTGTGCTTTTTTGATGACAGATGTGCAAATATTGGAAGTTGCCTGAATAAATGGCATGCAGACATCACTTGTCTACAAAGTGCATAGAAGTCTCTCTGCAGAATGCGAGGTTAATTCCCAAGCAGGAAATTGGGTGAAACAGCAAAATCTTTCACTTGCACAGGGTCTTTCACATAAAATAAGTAAAATCTGAAAAAGGATTTACTGGGAATTACTATTTCAACAACATGAAGGATTGGAGGATTTTTTTTTCTCCCATATCTAGCCAATATTATCCAAGGTAAGGCTATGAAAAGCAGGAATTTCACTGAAGGTAACAACTGTATAGAAAGGAGAAATAAAGCCACCATGCTAGACTGTTTACGAGCAGAGAGTCCAAGACATACATATACTCAAAACGTAATGAACTAGTGCATGGAAGTGCTGAACTTCCAAGTAAAAGTATGCCTTTTAAAACTGTTAGCATGCTATTCAATTGTGCTCTCAGTGAGCAAGAAACAGTTAATGAAGGACATACTGTCTCTGCTAGCAATAAATAATACAGAATCTCAAATAAGAACCAGCCAGGGCAAACTGGAAGTACAAATTACTTTTAATAGGTGTCCACCTACCACAAAACAAATTCACTTGGAAAAGTGTGTCTTGTGGTAGTGAAGGACAATACAAACATAACATTCTCTAAAGCAAAACCTCCACTCAAACAAAAAAGAACATGTTACAGGGCAGCAGAAGGTTTCTCAGTGTTATACTTTTTCAAAAAATTATTTTCTTTTCCTGAAAACATTTCATGGCTATAACTCGGAAGATCCTTCTGAGATCTCCTGTTCAAACAAGAACCTAAATATTCACTTTCATATAAAGTAATTATTAGCTTAGAGCTGAAAAAATAGTTTTATAATGAGCCACACAGTCTCACAGTTGGTAGTAACATACTTCATTTACCTTGCAGACACGGCCCTCAACCTTAAGTTACTGATTGGATTTCAGCAGAAACACACACGACAGTGAAATTCTTATTATTAAATCTTCTATTTATTCAAATAAATCAATAGGCAAATAGCTATGATTGATTTTATCTTTTTTAATGCAGGTGTACCGATGCGAGAATTTAAATGAAACTTTAACGGGGAGGAGACAGGGCAAGTTGTCTTGTGCAGAACAAGTTCCACATTTACTTGTCTAGAAAAGTACCATTCTGTATCACAATCTACTACTTTACAAGAGATTAGCTATTAGATGTAAATTTTGTTTGCAAAAGGCTTAGAAGGAGGATAAAGGTCAAATCATATCTGACCACCTCTGAAACATCTCGACAATCCAACAGTTAAAATTAGGGTAACAGTGTAATCTTGATCCTACTTAAACTGACAAGAGTTACCACTCAAATTAGTAAGCATTTGAATTTTAATGTAAAAAATTCTGGTATTTTATGTTCTACTATAATCCATTTCGATAAATGAATCTTGTATTTTTTACATCAGCTTATTGTAACAGTTTTCTTAGAGAGTTCTTAATAACCACTAAGCAAATAAGATGCATGCTTCTTAGCCTTTTTAAAAAAGCCAATAATTAACTCGACCAACTTTCTGAACACTAAGATTTGAGTCACACCACTCCACACTACTCTGTGACCTATTCACACCTGAAAAAATAATGGAAAAAGTAAATTATAAATTACTCATAATTAAAGAAAAAATAAATCCTTTTTTCCAGCATGAAATATATTTAATGTATTTTCAAGTAAGATTGTTTACACAGAATGCATTTTACACTATACATGTTTTTTGATGTTGAAGCATATACAAACACTGCCACCACCAATACACTTACCTGTACATTATTTACATTTTAAAATATGTTACAGAGCTCCAAACCATTAGCATCATTTAGCTATACACATTTTAAACTGGAGTGCAAAATGCTTACAGTTTTTTACACATGGGAATTTCAACATAAATGGTGCTTTCAGTTCTTCATTAATTCAACAGACCTGGGTATTAACTTTGTTCCATGCCAGCCATCAGTGACAAAGCTAAAGATTCCACTGTGAAACAAACAATAAAAAAGTATTTAATATTTGCATTTGCAGCAGCCTGCAAATACTTATTGCAATATTCAATTCAGTCATTTAAAAGGAAGATACTGGTTTGTTTTTTAAATTGTAATACTTCAGGACTTAAGATGGTAAGACAATTTATTAGTCTGACAGTTTAGACGATATTTCACCACATTTGCCACCAGTTATCCATTAGTTATTTCATGTGGTAAGAACCAGAAAGAAATTAGCTCCTTTGTTTGAAATACTGTTGTACACAAAAGAAAAATAAAGGTTGTGGGGAGTTATATACAGCAAGCTGATCTCACAGATAGTTCTTGTAGACTGAGTAGCAGCAATGTCAGATATTACCTGTTTTAGAATCATAGACTCGTTTTGGTTGGAAAAGACCTTTAAAATCATCAAGTTCGACCATTAACCTAACACTACCAAGTCCACCACTAAGTCATGTCTCCTACACTATCTGTAGATTTGGTTAGAAAATACATATACATACCAACAAACCTCATTGAGCAGTCCCCCCCAACTCAAACTGGCACTGATTAACAATTTAAGCTATTATCAGGTTGTAAGTAGAAACATAGACATACCATTTTCTGCTGTTTCTACTACCAAGGAAGTAATTTCCAACAGATAGGCAGAGCCAACAGCTCAGTGCAGTTGTAACTGAGGCACCATAATACTAAAATCTTATCTGCTCAAGATATATTGAAGCTGTCATTCAATAAGAACAAAAAGAATGCTCTTCTATGACCCCAGAACTTAGTTTCATTAGTTTAGAAAACTGCTTGTCACTTGCTTGGCTACATCAGCTTCCTCTCATCAAGAAGGCAGATAAACTGAAGAAAGCTGTCATGAAAAAGCTAGGCACAAATACTCTAAAAAAAATGACTTTATCTTAGTAAGAAGTAAGTCTTCATGTCCCTCTGTGAATAACTGACAAAATAACATATAAGATGTACTGACAAACATTAATACAGATTAAAATATAAACACATTCTTAGCAAACTTGTGTAAGTGCAGGTATGTAAAAAGCTTCATGTACTTACAGTGAGGAAAAGAGCCTCGACAGACAGCTTTGTTGAGAACAGTTACAAGAAACATGTGACAGTTTTTAAAATCAGATTCCATCTTCTCTATGGATTCCATCCTACAAAACAGTTATGCAGGAATGCTTAACAGACCAGCCACTATGTATCTTCAAAATATGACCAAAATTTCACAGTAAATGACAAAAGTACTCTTTATACAGAATTCTGGCTTGAACTTAGAATATTTCAGTTATGCCTGAGTATGATACTCCTAGAAAACAGAGAAAATTCTCACAGGAGCATCTGAGCACTATCACTATGGCACTAATAATTTCCTCATTGTCTCAGAAATCTCTGCAGTGATTTGGAGGAACTCTATGGTTCCAACTGACAATTTTTATTACTACATATGTTTGTATATCAAGACAGCCTTCCCTGGTCCCTACTGCTTCAGAGCAACCTGGGGTAAACCTACACTGCCAGTAAAACAGGGACAGCCACACTGCTTTACTATCAGTCATCTCTTGAATTCCACTTTGGACTCTGTCAGCTAGCACTCACCAGTCAAGGGAGAAGACATAGTTCACAATAGTCACTCCCTTTCCTTTTTCCCCTCTCCCAAGATGATACAGATGACACTACACCAGCTATGACTTTCTCCTGTGACATCCAAGAGCACGTAATCACATGCCCTGAGTTTCAGTCTTTATTAACAGCATTCACAAATTAGTTCTGACACACTGAATGAGAAAAGCGCTCCAAAAATAGCAACTTCCTAATGCCACAGGAGTGGGATCCAAATTCTAGGTAGCATCTGTGCCAAAGAGAATTAGTCCTGAAAAACACGAAGTGAGCCGGTCCACAACAGCTGGCTTCAGGACCATACATCAACTTCTGAGTGTCTGACACAGCCAGACAGTCAAAGGAGGTGATTATCCCATTGTATTCAGCATTGGTGTGGCCTCACCTGGAGTGCTGTGTGCAGTTCTGGGCACAAAATCATACTTAATTCAAAATCATACTCAAAAATATGACCATGTAGAATTGTAGGCATATGTACTTACTTCCAAGCCCCCAAACCGGCCTGCCAACGGTCTGCAAACATCAGTACTAAGTTTAACACCTTCATTATAGCTTCTTTCACAAAGCTCACCTAAAACAACAATTAAAACACAAGGAGTAAGTCAGAAATTCATTGTTCAGCATAATAATATGCATTATTATGCTGCAATGCAAAGGTATCACAGGCCATTTAATCTGATCTGTAAAAACAATCTCCTAAGTACAATGTGATTCTTCCAAATTTAAGATGTGTTTTGCATTTGTTCTCCAATTCATTTTGCAGCTGACTACTTCGATGTGGACTATGCACAGACAGTACGAGGGATAAAAGGTTTCAATGCTATATCCATGTACCTCCATTTCCTGCCATACCACTAAGTATAATCCTCCTTACATTGCCATGTCTCAACTTGTTCAAAACTTCCTATCTCTTAGAAACAAACGAGCCATGTAATATCCAATATAAAGGATTTAATTTTATCTTCTCTCCTTGACAGAATTGAAGTGAGACCAGCATGGGAAACTCAGTCTCTGTGTTAATTCTAGAAAAGTTACTACTTCCTCAAAAGTACCTATACATTGCTTAGGATGTATGAACTGCAAAATAGACTACTGAACTACTTTCTTGTACTGCTAAACTCAACATATCAAATTTGCTAAGTTTTTACCCACCTTTTCTCTCAGTAAGCAGCGATCATGAATTGTAGATAGGTATCTGTAATGAATCTTTATCAATTGATCTAAATCTTTGGCTTCTTCTACCTGATGTTGAAACTCCAAGCCTGTACTGTGAAGAATCTTAAAAAGATGACCATTATTAAATTCATTGTTGCACACATGTGATTATGACTCTCTTCCAATATATTTTTAAGAGTCTGAAACTGCATGATTAATTTGCTCTTCCCTCTCAAATTTTAGGATCAGCCTCCAAATTACTATCAATAGCAAACATTTCGAGCTCTTCTCACTACACAACAACATTCCTCATATAAATACGAATACTGCCACTACACAAGGACATACAGACTATCCTTGGAGAAGTGGAACTGGATCATATTAATTTTACTAAAGGCAAAAAAAGGCAATAGTAGAGCAGATATAAATCTATAGGCATTGCCTTTATATTCAAGAAGTCAAGTATACAATGTGTGCTAGAGATTTTTGAGAAGGATCCATTTAACTAAAATATCTGCAGTAACACTTTTATCAGCATAAACAGTTCTTAAGAGAGGAACAGCTTACTCAAACCTCTTTTTACATGACTATGCTTCAGTCATCTACCACTGGGACAAAGAGTCAAAAAGAACTAGTAATATCCAAAGATCAATCGTGTGCATGTAGAACTCCTAAAGCATTTTCAGAATTACTGAATCAAAATGGCCAAGTTAAAACTAAAACATGTCAAGCTCAAAATCATTTTGCAGGAAGGATATTATACTTAGATTTTGCACTTTTTAAAACATATTTTACGGAAAAATTAATACTGCATCTCCAGTTACAAGTTCTTAATATAAATGAAAGCATGATATAAGACAAACCCTTGTCATGATGTAGTTGTGCAGGCTGTTAACAAAATGCATAAGTTTCACTCTTAAGAGGAACATGCGATGTATTTGTTGTTTTATGCTTTCTGTTTGCGGTCCAAACAGAGGACGCGTTCCTTGTTCTAGTGAAGTTCCTTCCTTAACCTGTGGGTTTTCTGCAGCAGAGATTAGTTCTAAAAAAAAGGCAAGAGTATTGCTCTTTTTGGGAAAAGACTCAAGCAGTCACACCCATGAAGTTTAAACAGAAGAAAGCCACATGCTTTTGAGAAGATAATTACTTAAGTGATGGTCAAATCATAGATGAACCCACCAACTTTCTAATTTGTTTTTCTAAGACACGAAGTCCGTATCCACTTTACATGGGACAGGAAGAGAATACACATTAACCTGGTGAAGGAAATACTAAGAAATCTCTTTCTACAATCCCCAAACAGCTTACTGTTTCAATCTCAAATAGAGTATTTTTTTCATCTTTTCTTAACTTGTCTGCAAGGTATTACACATAAAAACTTGGACCATACATACAGCAAAACATTAGGGTGTGGTAAACAGACCTTTCAACTGCAAGGTCTGAAGAATGAAGTTACAAGTTTCCAATATAACTAACTAGACTTGAATCAAAAAGACCAAGGGAATGCTTGAATAGTGTTATCCCTGAGGCTGAAAAGAAGTGAAAAACATACCCATCTTAATATATCTAATTTGCAATGCTAACACAGATTAATATTTTATAGAATTAATCAAAATTCTAACTAGTTTATACTACTTACTCCAGAAAGCAGAACACTCTTAATGTCCTTACAATACAAACCAAGTTTATTTATAGAGCATCTCTCATTGAAGAAGTATCTTACCATCAAATCGTAAAACATCTAGACTATACTTGGCCCACTTTATTTGCAGTAAGAGCAGAAAAACTTGATTGTAAATTTTTTGGCACTCTAAACTTATAACTATATCCACAGGCCAAGGAACCTAAGAAGAAGAGAGGATAATCAGACAGAAAGTATAAGTAATTTTAATACAACATTTCAAATCTCTTCTAGAATAAGAACCACAGCCATATTAACTCATTACCTTATAACTCAATGTCAGACCATCTAAGGTGTGGACAGGGAGTTTCTTCTTTGCTGTATCAACACTTTCAAATGATATAGACAACCTATGCAAGGAAACAAGTGATGTCATTGATAAGAATCTGTTTTAAATTCGTAATTGGTTTTATTAGGTTTTATTTCTTATTGCTAAATACCAACTGTCTGACTTAATCTGGAGGACTTGGGTAGAAAAGATGACAACAGCTCAAAACTTCATTAAAACAGATTATTTCAATGAGTACACAATAATTAGTATTGTGCTATGCAAGTTAAGTACATTAATAGAGGTAAGTGTGAAAGAAATGTAACTAAAGCATGTTTTGCATTTTACCTTGCACTGTCCTCTGGATAGCGTTGTCCAACTGCTTCTTGTAGTTGAACATTTAAGAAAGCAACATTCTGCCAAGTTTCCTTTTCTCTAATTTTGTCAAAAATAGATGTATAGAAGTCATACATGGTATCTCCAGCTTCAAGTAAGAAAAAGTTTCTCATTGCTTGCAAATATTCTACAAGCCTAAACAGGAACAAACATATAACATTTCCTCAGTTTCCTCATACAAGTGAACCCAAAACACAAAACTCTTCACTACAAGAACTCAGTACTGGACACAAATGTAACAAGGTCCACAGTGAATCCTTTGTTTAACCCTCACAGAGCTTTCACATGCATTCAAATAAAACCAAATAACGAATGCGTTTTTCCCTGTAAGCCTAAACAGCCCCACTAACTTCAACAGGAGTGCTCATGATATTCAGCTATCTCACCAGCTAGGTAATTGCCAGAAACAGCATAGTTTGGAAATCTTTCCCTCTCCCTAAAATGAACTTCAAATGACAACATTATTAAGAAGAACTGTTTGAAACAATTTCCCCACTGAACATCTACTGAAGATAAATGATAGCTTTGCTGTTGATTTTAAGCTAGACCAAGTTTTTACCCAAGAGTCTTTAATGTTAGATCCCCCTTTTCTCCCTAATGATTTTATTGTTGGTTATCAAATTGAAATAGAAACACAAGATAAAATTGCTTCTTTTAGTGATGGCATACCACTGGTAATAAAAAAAAGGTAAGGAAAAACAAATCTATTTTCTTACCTATAATCCTTCTTTAAAGTTTGCATCAGATTCCCACAGCATTCCAAGTATTGCTTGTCTATGTGCGGATAAAGGCAAGACCTCAATGTCAGTTCAAAAGTCTGGCAGGTCACAGATTCTGAGGATCTATCCACAGAGACATCCTCACCAGTAAACTTCTCATGAAAGTCACTCTGTTCCAAATAGAGTCTTCAAAATAAAACAAACTGCTTAGGGAAGAAGGCTCATTACTGATACAATACATAAAACAATGCTGTACTTTTTATCAATATTGGATCCTCTGCTCTGAAATACATGGTGCAGGAGTACTAAAAGCTGATTCATAACAAGAGTACATATCAAGTCTATTAAGTCATCCATCATACTCTTTGTGTATCACCAGATACAAGAATATCAAAAAGGACAGCATTCTATAATCACAATTGCTTAAGGCATAATTCTGAAAAACATCAAGTTCAAACAGTGTACAGCTTAATAAGCAAACCCATTGTCACAGGAACTTTTAAAACTCTACTGTGCATATACAGCAGTTTTCTTTCCCAGGAAAGAAAAATAAAATTAAAGAAACAAAGTAAAAATTTGACCAACAACCACAAAACAACAAACAAAAAAAAACCCCAAACCACCCCACAGATGGAGAACTGGTTTGAGGCATCTTAATTATAGTGTCCCTGTATATTATCTGTAATATTATGTGATGGGAAGACGAGTATCTGTAGTCTACATTTGGTAAGTTTAATTGTTTTTGCACAGAAAGGATCAAATTCTTATAATATTTTGTAAAAAGCTACTTGCCAGCTGAACCCACTGTTAGAGGAAGTCTGGCTCATAACAGCTATTGCCTTGATAGACTGGATGAGTCAGACACGGAATTAATGTAGCAGTTTTGACAAAGAGAATAGTCTCAATGAACAAGGGAAATAATAAAGTCTTATCTACTATTAATTATGATTTCTTTACACCATGTTCCTCCTAGGACTGAGATGAAAACATGTATATTGACAATTTCATTTTTCATGGCTAGGCTTCGCGAACGAAGATTTGAGGAGGGTTCTACCCACGTTTGTCGCAAGCGCGCTGGTGGCTAAAAAAGCCAATACGAGACAGGCACAGCAGAAAGACTCCTTAGGTGGTATTGACAATTAGTATTTAGGAAAAACATAAAAAGCTATTTTCTTATTCGCAACCACAAAATAAATGAGATTTTCAGAGTTTGCCTTTCCTGTTAATTTCCAAGACATTTATAACCTCTACAGGACCTCCCTCATTACAAAGAATGAAGAATTGCTATGCAATTAACATGAATTTTGGTAAGTTTTTACAGTTATATGATTTAAACACAGCACAACTGAAGCTGCATTCTGCTAAGAATATCCATGGTGCAAATCAAGGATGTTGTGTACAAATTCCAATCAAACTAATTTAAAAGTTCAGATTTTACAGTGGCATTCCCTATTATTCCCTATTAAACCACTTATTTGCTAAAAGCCTGTTATGATAGAGACTACTCCAATTTTCTATGCTACCAATTGCGAATAGCACATTTTTCTTTAACCAAGCACAAGGGGAGTGCCTATTTAGCCTCTGTCACTGATTGTTGATGCTCCTCTTTGTTCTGCACTTGCTTGTTTCCAGGAGCAGCAGCAATGAAAATGTGGTCTACCAAAAGTCGCCAGGCAGAACATTGCTCTCAAATATGCAGCAGGAAGCTCATTCATTTACCTGGCAAAATTAATAGCCAGCAGTGGGTCATGGACATCATCCAGTTCCAAGTGTCTTTCCGCTATAGACTGCATCTTTATCAGGCTCTGCTTTGTGGCCTGCTGTTCTGTAATAGTATCAGGAACAGACTCTTCCCCATGCCGCAGGCGAGACTGCACCGATTCCAAGAACAGCGTGTATAAACTCTTTCGTTCAGCATCTGAATCGGGCAACACATTCCACAGTAAGATTTTCTTCAAAGAGAAAACATCATCTGAACTAAAAGAAGAACTCCATAGTCCAACATTCACTAGCTAACTTTTAAAATAGTAAATTTAGGCCACTATTCAGAAAAAAACCCAACCCCCAAATACATATTTGAAATGACAGGAGTAGTCCAATGCCTAAGGTCAGGCATATGTTCAAATGGATTGCAGAATGGGTATCTGAAATATGAAATATTTCTGAGACTGTTAAACAACTTCCTACTTCAGTTGCAAAGGCAGTTAATTTTTAGCACCTGAAACAACCCTTCACTATTCACTAGAATAGATGATACTCTCACATCAAAGGGGGAAATAAATAGAGTGAGTCTCTAAAATAATTTAACTATCTCTACTTTTAAACATCAAGGAACAGCAAAATGAAAAAAACTGTTTCCTTAAAAAAAAAAGGCCAAAAAAAGTTCCAACACTGGTTAAAATGTTGTATAATGCTTTACAATCATGCAGGATAAATATCCTAGATATCCAAATATCTTTCATCTACTTATGAGTAAGCTTTAAAAAAAAAAATTCCACATGCTACCTCAGAATTACTGAACCATTTAGCAATAGAGAACAATTATTTATTAAAAAAACCTTTACTATTAGAACATAAAAGCTGGTTTTGTCTCATAACAAGAAAAAAAATTGCTTTGCAAGCACATGAAAAGAAGTTTAAGAAAAAACTACAGAAATAAAAAGAAAATGGAACACTCAGCTTTATTTACTTTGCTCTTTTCACTTGCTTGCATTGGAAGAATGTTTTCCGTAAGACCTCAAGTTACCAACCACGATACTGACATTATTACCAAAAATACACCCATACTGTTAGATACCCTAAGGCACGATAGGGTATAAACTGACGGCTCACCTCTTGACGCAGCCTGCTGTGGAGAGCCATCTTTGCATTGAAGATTCTTCAACAGCTGCATGGATTTTCCAGCCATGATAATTTGCTTTAGCACAGGTTTCAGAAAAGAGACCATAGTGTGCTGTCTGCTTGAAGGGGCCTGATCACTGCCAGAACTGGCACTGGCATTATCACTCATCTTCTCTTCATTCTCAGTCTTTTCTGACACACTATATAATGTGTAGGTAGCATACCAGAAATCTCTGTGATTAACTGGAACATTTTTGTTTCTGCAAAGCAATAAAAAGCTGTTGAGTATTTCCCTCTTCAAAAGATGAAACTTCATTACTAGGAGATAAATAGAATCTTTGTTCTATGCTTTGCCTTTCTCTTAAAACAGTCATGAAGCACTTTAGAACTATATAAAATTAGCACATTTATATCACAAACTATCTAGACACTCTGAAATGGATGACTGCTTTGGCAGGATAAACAATCAGGTCAGAGGACACAAAACAACTGCACAACCAAATAAACCCCCAAAACAAGGCAAATAGAGTAATGATAATTAAATTTGTCCAGGAAGTTAACTATTCACAGTGGCATGCATCCTTAATGTCAAAATGATGAGTGACTGACTTGCAGATTTATTTAAAATACAACACTGAAGCAAATACTACTGGGAAAGCTGAAAAATTCTAGAGTAGGTGTTCACTTTGGTTTTTTGTGTTGCTTACATCAGATACTCAGTTTTTGTCTTTCAAGTCAGATGGGAAACAACCTAAACTAGATAACTAAAATGAAACACACATATAAATAAAAGTTGAGATCAGCCCTGTTGGTAGCACTGAAAACAAAACTATAAAACCCCAAAAAGAGCACATAAAAGGATTTTAAATATTATGTGTGTTTAGTATCAGCATCCCTACCTCTGAATAATAAATTCCTTTGCAGGATCAAATAAATTACCATGGACTATCCACTCATCCACTGTCTGTAAGTACGGCCTCACAGTTTCAACCCAGAGAGAGAACAAAAGGGATACCTGAATTCAAAGAAAAAAGATAAAAATGGTTGAATGTTTTTATACTAAGCATTGAAAGCAGTATGGGCAAAGCCTAACCTCTTATGTGCAATCACAGTTTATAAGATATACATAACTACTCTTAAGGCTTTTAAAGATAGAATGTTAAACTAACAACTACAGCTTTAGTAGTTTCAACGGAAGCCTGTATTGTTCATGCTTCCCCTTGTTACTTTTGTAATCACAGTTACACCCAAACAGCACTTTTCACTCTAACATCTCTCAAACAGGGGTAGTCATAAAACATTCTGTGGTTCCATAACATCGAAAACAGGAAAACAAAAAGACATAATGACATGGACTATATTTCCAGTAGTATAATCAGCAAGTTAATGTAAAAATCCAAACCCCCACATTTGAGCAGTAACTGAATTATGCAGCTGTAGAAATAGGAGGGAAACCTATTCCAAGGTTCCCTCTTTCAAAACAGTTTCCTGGCCTCTGATTCCCCACAGTTCCTCCCCTCAGTACAAAAAAACACCACTACTGATCTTCTCGTAAATCCAGTTTTGTCCAGGTTGAGTGGACTCATGTCAGAAAACAATAATGCATTAATTACTAAATCTTCTAGCGTGTTGTTCTATCAAGGAAGGAATTATTTCTCCTACCGTTTGCTCAGATGCCTCTCCAACACTGTCATACTCAAGAATAGATTTGTAGAGAGTATTAAGCAGATGAGATGCTCGTACAACATTTCTGGTGTCAGGTGGTACTTCCGCTACTCCTGTGCTGAAAACCTTGTGAAGTACTTTCAGCTGTGCCAGTCTGGGAGACAGCTTATCTATTACTATTGAAAGTGTGACTGTTTTATCTGGAAAAAAAACCAACAACAAAACAAGATGTATAAAAGGAACATCCAACAGAAAAGCAAATTTTGTCTGTTATTAAATTGTGTGTCCCCCTCTTGTAAAACTTCCCTCACACTGTACCTTTGTTGATTATGCACTTTTCAATTTCAGTAAGTTCTTCTTTAAAGCTAATAAAATATTTATACAAAGCCCACATAAAAGCTTGGTAGGTTCTGAATGGGGCTTCAGTAGTCTTCTTTGGAGTCGAAACTGTTCCATGCATTATGCTTTCTGGGCTGTGTCCCATCACTTCATCAATAAACTTCTGTAGTCTAAACACAACTTGACCATATGCTGCTATCTGCTCCAATACAGATCTCAGGCAATTCTAAAAAAAATCATACTTTTTAGAATCATCTAATAAGAATTGTATTTTATAAAGCCTAAAAACTGAATTACAATATTATCTTTATGAATTAAAATATTATAAAATTCTGCAATCGCTATTGCTTCATCACATTCTCAGATACAGCCCATTTGGTTTTATTAAGCCAGATGTCCTTACTTTAGAAAAAACACAGTTGTAGAAATGTGATTTTTCCACAAGTAGTTTAATTGCGTATTCCCCCAAATTACATCTTTCTAATGACAGATATATTCAGCTGAGATTCAGAAACAACTTACGTGGGTTAAATGAGTTACAATAATATCATTCCGAACAGTCACTTTTCCATCATTCAGCTGAAATATATAAAGCTTTTTCACTCCTGAAAGTAGCCTTGAAAAGAAATGAAAAGAGTAGTAATTTTCCCCCTTAATGCACTTATAATTATATAATTAATAAAAGAAGTAACTCTCGCTTGCCTGTAAGTTTTTCTTCGAGTAACAGGAGACCACAGATCAAGTAGGATGGTATTGGTAATGTAAGTTGTTGCTAGAACAACAACACTTAAATACAGGCACCAAGCAAACATTTCTTACAGTTTCTTTCCAGTTGAGATAATTCCCAGCTATAGGATAACTCTACCTACTTTCTAAAATTGGACACTGTATTAAAAATCCATAGGGGCAGGATAAGAACGAATTGGTTCTTTTTAACAATTAGAACTGAAGAACTGATGCAAACAAGAGGTAGTATACTACTTCCTTCTTTGTGAATCACAGAATGGAAGGGACCTTAAAGATCACCTAGTTCCAACCTTCCTGTCATGGACAGGGACATCTTTCACTAGACCAGGTTGCTCTCAGAGCTCCATCCAACCTGGCCTTAAACGCTTCCAGGGATGGGGCATCCAACTTCTCTGGGCAACCTGTTCCAGTGCCTCAAACATGAACGGTTAACACACATCTCTCTTTTCAGAAACAGTGCAAATTAAAAGCTCAGTAATAATTCTTCAAACATGTCTTCAAAGACAGATCTCTCATTTCCTTGAGAGAAATACTAAAAGTTAAAGCACAAGCTTTGTGATGTTGCTCTTACCAAAGAGTTTCACGTATAACCTGAGTTTCTGTGACTAGGGTTCTCTCTTCTGGCACGTACAAAGGATCACTGGTGTACAAGTGGTGATCCCTTAGAAAAATAGGAAATGAAAAAAATGTAATGGCTGAAATACAAGCTGAATCACCTGAAAATAAGAATGAAGAAATAATCCTAATGCTCAGTTTTGTTCTACTCGTATCTGAGCAGATTCGATGTTCATGGGAACATTTTAAACATATAAACAAAAGCACAGTTTGTTTTCATATTGTTAAGCATGATACTATGGAAAACATTCAAATATCATCAAGTCTTACACAGCAAGACAAGCAATTAAGTAGCAAATATCTGAAGTACTGGATTTTCACTGGTTTTTGGGGTTTGGTTGTTGGGTTTTTTTTAATTCTTGATCCTTGATTATTCAATTATTTTTCATTCAACGCTGTGAAAAACTATCGTTACCTTCTGGGAAAAATACTAAGCTAGAAAGTAAAATATCAATTGCCCTAATCCATATAAGGAAGTTCACACTTTAGCCCAAAAGTTTACTTAAGAAATGGAAATTTTCATAGCCACCTAAGAACTTTCTCTTATGATCCTGTCTTACACAATTCTTTGTAAACTTTCCACAGTACTTTTCATATTTTAGCAAAGTATAGAACAATTACTTACATTTTTAGTATTTTTACTCATTAATATCATCAGTGGCAAAGGTTATGTAAATGTGCTCAAAATTTAAAAGTCCAAGCTAAGTAATACTGGTTATTTATCACACATATATATAACATACATCTGCAGTGCTGCTTTATTCCTGTTACTGATTTTCTAATATTCATTGTAAATTTGGGTTATAACTGGCTAGATAATCAACTTACACTAAAACAGCTCCTTGATTAAGAAATTGATTAAATTAAGGAAACCAAAGACAAACCTAAGGAACTTTATTACTACAGTACTGATATGTCAGAATTTGGGACAGGAAAGAACCAGGCTTTTTTTCATTTTTTTTTAATTCTCATTTTCTTTCCAAGACCATGGCAGATCATGGCAATATACTGCTTCATATTCCTTCCCCACACAAAATCTGTGTTTAAGACTAACTTTGTAAAGGAGACACCAAAAACAAACAAACAAAAACTTTAGGGAACTCCTCACTTCCAGAACCACTTACAACCCACCAATATTAGTTCCTCAAGACCTTCGTAAGGGTCAAGCCAAACAAAATTCAATGGTAAGATTTACTTCTTTGAAAGCTGACACAAGAAACTTATTAAAAATTAAATAAAAGCATAGGAATTTATTAATAAAGTTCATTTATTTAATAAACAGCTCACTTGTTGATCTTATCCATTTGTACCCCTTTAATTCTGTTTTTAAGTTAATTGTAACAGCTATACTATCGTTATGATTCCAAGTAAAGATGCTTAATAAAGTCAATATTTAGCACTTTATGCCAGTAAGCAATATGTAAATGATACTATTTTTCTTACCAGACTGCAGCCAGATTGGAATGCAAGTGCAAACTATGTGAAAAACGAGGAGCTCTTCCTGTCCAGTACTGAGGAACTACATGCTGCTCCAGCCAGCTGCGGACATCAGGTTCACCGACTGTGAAAACATGGGATGGTCAGCAACATTTTTATTTACACAGGAAATGCTTATAAAACACAGGAAAAAGTTACTAATAAGCCTATCTGCTCAGCTGCAGATCTTTTCAAATTAATTACCATGTACAACTATTTACACTTTACTGCACTCATATATATGACACCATCATGCAGAAACTAATTTACAAAGAAATGCCACATCTCCTAAATATTGCAGAAGTCCTAAAAAATAAGCTCTACTGTGTGCTGGTGTGGCCTCACCTTGGGTACTGTGTGTAGTTTTGATCACCACAATATAAGAAAGATATTAAGCTATTAGAGAGGGTCCAAAGCACTGTTACAAAGATGGTGAAGGCTCTGGAGGGGAAGCCATATGAGAAGTTGGTCTGTTCAGCCTGGAGAGGAGGAGACTGAGTGGAGACCTCACCGCAGTCTACAACTTCCTCATGAGGGGAAGAGGAGGGGCAGGCACTGATCTCTTCTCTGTGGTGACCAGTGACAGAACCCAAGGGAATGGCCTGAAATTGTGTCAGGGGAGGTTTACGTTGGATATTAGGAAAAGGTTCTTCACCCAGAGGGTGGCTGGTCACTGGAACAGGTTCCCAAGGTAAGTGGCCAAAGCACCAGGCCTGACAGAGTTCAAGAAGTGTTTGGACAATGCTCTCAGGCACATGGTGTGATTCCAGGGGCTGTCATGTGAAGGGCCAGGAGCTGGACTTTGATGATTCTTGTAGGTCCCTTCCACCTCAGGATATACTATGATTCTATAAGCTTAGAAATTTATATGGTTTCCATTTTTTTTTCCAAAAATGTGCTTCTGTCTCAGGCAATTCTCAAGTGCTATATACAAAAACATGCTGATTTAAAAAGTAAACTACAAAATATCATCATCTTCATCACTATGTTCCTTTTCACTAGGCATTTCATCATCATGGCTAGGCTTCGCAAACGAAGATTTTGGAAGGCACTACCCACGCTTGTTGCAAGCGCGTTGGTGGCTAAAAAGGCCAATACGAGACAGGCATGTCTGGCTGCAAAAGGCACAGCAGAAAGACTCCTTAGGTGGTACACTCTGCAAGGCACGATTCTTTCTGCGCTGTCTTTTCTCCTCAAGAGTGATCCTGCATGCCTTCTCAAAAGTGTCAGCAGCGTTAGAGATAGTGTGTCTCCAGAGCTCCTGACTGGAGGCCAGAGTAGACCAGTTATGTTGGTCAATATGACCAAGGCTGAGATGTTGTTTCAGGGAGTCCTTGTATCTTCTCTTCAGGGCTCCTCTCCTGCAGTAGCCAGTGGCAAGTTCACCATAAAGCAAGATCTTAGGGAGGCGGTGGTCCTTCATCCTGGAGGCGTGCCCTGCCCAATGCAGCTGTGTTCTCAGCAACATGGTCTCAATACTTGTGACTGCTGCTTGTTCTAGAATAGATGTATTGGTCACATAATCTGACCAGTGGATGTTTAAGATCGTGCAGAGACAGCGTTGATGGAAGCGTTCTAGGAGACACAGGTGGTGGTAGTAGATGACCCATGATTCAGATCCGTATAAGAGAGCAGACAACACTATGGCTCTGTAAACACTGATCTTTGTACTTTTCTTCAAGTGTTTATTTCACCAAACTCTTTTATGGAGTTTTCCGAAAGCTCTATATGCCTTTGCTAACCTGTTGTCTATATCTCCGTCAGTCTTACCATCCGAGGAGATGAGGCTACCTAGGTAATTAAAATGCTGGACTGATTTGAGCTCTGATTGGCCAATGGTGATATGGGGATGACGGAAGACTTCCTGAGGTGCAGGTTGATAGAAAACTTCTGTCTTTTTTAAGCTGACTTCCAGCCCAAAGAGCTCAGCAGCATCTGCAAAGCAGGATGTTAAACACTGCAGAGCTGCTTCTGTGTGGGCGACAAGGGCGGCGTCATCAGCATAAAGCAGCTCCCGGACAAGATGGTTTAAGGTCTTGGTGTGGGCCTTCAGTCGCCTTAGGTTGAACAGACTTCCATCAGTACGGTATCGAATGTAGATACCATCCTGATCCTCGAGGTCTGCCATGGCCCTTTGGAGCATCATGCTGAAAAAGACTGTGAATAGGGTCGGTGCGAGAACGCAGCCTTGTTTCACACCATTAGATATTAGAAAGGGCTCAGAAACTGCATTGCCATATCTGACTTGGCCATGCTGATCCTCTTGGAGTGAGATGATCATTTTAAGGAACTTGGGGGGACAACCTAAGCGTTCCAAAATCTGCCATAGACCTTTTCTGCTCACAGTATCGAAAGCCTTGGTGAGGTCGACAAAGGTTACATAGAGAACTTTGTTCTGTTCCCTACACTTCTCTAGGCATTTAGTACACTACCTAAAATTATTTTCTTAAATGTGATTGTTAAGAGAACTTTACCTAATCCCAGTTAGATAGCTACTGCTTATATATTGTGCAGTTGTCATATAAAAGGTAACCTATATCCTACAATATTCTACAAAAAAATATACAGCTACATTTAATACTCCCTGAAGCTACTCAAGAGAAAGCCACTAGTGTTTTAATTACACAGAACTATTTTTTCAGAAACATTTAATACTCAGAACTGAGTCAACTATTTCCGTTCTCAACCAAATTTTGTTTCCGCATTCTCATACTTAAAAATAAAAACGTACATTATACAATTTTATACACTTTATTATACAACTACATGCTACGTTTACTATATAAGTTTTCACTTCTATATTGGAATATCCACATATATTTCCACAGAAACAGACTTCTTCTCCTTTAGCAATAACAAAAATCAGATCAAACCTTTCATATTGCTTCTTTACTGTAATAAAAGCCCATCAGGAGTGAACAGTAAGGTGCACCCTATAGAACAATTATAAATCGAAAACACAATACCTCATTAAAGAATAATAAATAAGCTGCACTAGCTTGCTAAATTTCAGTATGTATGACTGTATCAGAAGAATTACAGCTTATTCTAACCTTTCCAGGAAACATTAGGTACTGTTTTCTTATTTGGATCTTGGTCTTCTAAAGGTGTCCTGTCTACTTGAATACCCGAGTCCTCCCTGCTCAAGGGCTGAGTGTCTTCTTCCTCTTCGCTTTCTCCAGACCAATCCTATTAAGTACAACAAACCCCAGTACACTTCAGAACAATATGGCAGACAGATCTATATCCAGTTTCTATTCAAGTAAAACACAAACTATTCTCTTCTTTCTTCCACTATAAAGGACACTAACATAACCATCTAACAGAGACTGATTTAAGTTATGTATAACATGAATAACCAGACAAATGAGAGAACTGGAAAACATCACAGAACTGCAGAAATTTCTGATGAGGTGGAAGCAGGGGTCAGAAGAAGCAGCCAGTTTAATTGCAGGATTAAGTCAAAACATTGTGAAAAAGAAAAGTGTTTTTATTACTGTTCTTCTGCTTGGGTCTGTGTGTATTTCATGGTATTAAGCCATGTATTGGGGAATCCTACAGGAATCAACATGCAGAGCATACAAACCAGGACAACTCAACCAGGTCTCTAACATACTTCAAACGAGTTTATATAGTTTGGGTTTTTTACCTTAAGAAATTACTTACGGGTGTATCTACACCAGGACCAAAGTAAATTTCTTCTCCTTCCATCAGATACTTTCCCCAATCAAATTCTTCTTCCTTTTCTATGAGAAGTATAAATATAAAAATAGTAAATACCTCAAAACTCTGAATTTCTTTTCCTCTAAAAACACTTCCAAAGTTAAAATTACCTTGAAACCCTCAACCTAAAATAGAAGGCATTCCCTTCCACTTAAGGTTACACCACAGTTCCTTTAACAAGGTTATGCACTTCCAACACAACATGTACTGTGATGCATCCACTATGTATACCCCTTATTAATTCTCAATTTTTTTGCTTAAACACTCCAAATACGCAACACCATGTGCCATTGGCACATTTATCTGTATAATGTTACAGTACCCAACACTTCAATCTTGGAAAAACATGCAAGAATGCAACACATCACTTCTTGTGACTAGTCCCATTTAGCTCAATGGAAACATTCTAAATGTACAATTTACATATGCACATGGATCCTGGACTGTAAACAACATAAATCAAGGACCGTCTTACTCTCCAAAAAAGACACCACATGTGCAATACTGTGATGTGCAATACTTCAAAAGTAACAATCACACTTACAACATATTATATCTTAAACATGAAGCTTACTCAACTGTAATTAGTGTTGTTTGAGATAACCTCTTCATATTCACATTCCTGGAATGGGCTGAAAGTGCATTCAAAACACCGCCGAGGGAATGTGCAGAGATCATTCAAAAAGGAATCTTAAGATGCAAGATTTTCTTTAGGTTAGTCTGAAATACTCTTTCAGTCTATGATACAACACTGTAAACAAATGGGGGATGGTATCCTCTCAAACTTAAGCGCAAGCCTCATTTTCAGGCAGTGAGTGAAAAAGCCCTACTTTAGAAAGCACGCAGCTGGGATCTCCCTCTGGAAACCTTCGAATGTATCTCCCTTTCCTTGATTATATGGGGAACATAGGAATTTACGTCACCAAAGCTGTTTCAGCAGATCTGTTATTGAGGTGCAAGACAGAGACTCGGGATAGAAATCCACTGTCTGTCTTTGTGCATGTAAGCACCGTTGAACAGTTGGAGAACGTTTGTGATAGTGGCACAAGTCAAAGAGAGTTCCCAAGGTACTTTGATGGCTGGAAAACTTAACCAGGTGATGTAACATAAACAGGGGTAGGAAGGATTTGCAAGCTATTTTAAATGCATAAATTATAAAGAAGACAACCAATAAAGCAATGTGAAGTGAAGGAGATCATAAAATGGAGAGGAAAAATGTCCTTCTTATCAGATTGCGTTAACAGATTGTATCTCTCATTAGCAATATAAACATCTTGTAAACTTACCCACTTCTTTGACTCTTGGTTTTTCCACATAGGTGGTGTTGGATGGAGAATCAGACAAACACAATAGAAGAGACAGTATAGCATAGTGTGTATCTGTCTTTAAGACATAGTAAAAAAAAAAAAAAAAGGCAAGTCTGTAAGAGGACTAAAAGATTTTAGGAACAAACTCAGCCTATTATCTGCATGAATACTACCCATTAGTTCCCATTCCCCAGTCCTGAATTACAAAAATAACATCTGCCACATAATTCTTCTGCCTACTAATTAGCCAATCAGTATACAAATACCTCAAAAGTAGCCACAGCATAAGCTACCTCTTACTGAGCTGACAGTCAGAGAACATGGAAAAGATGCAAGTACTGTGAAAGTCACAGGACAAGGGATAATGGACAGCTACATTAACGTGGATGAGCTGGAAGAGCAAAGGTAATGGGCCTGCAGGAAATCAAGTCTTAGGTTCCCTTGTTCACACGGCCAATTATTTAAAACAGAGACTAAAGTGAAGTTAGCTAAAATCACTACATTTTAATATTATGTTCACATTATCTTCTCGCATCTGAAAATCTATACAGATTATTAAGGACAAATCTTAAACTCCAATATTGCACTAATGCAGTTGTGAAACAGGCCTTCAATCAGGTTAGAATACTGTGCCAACACTGTTAAGGTCCAAAGATTTGTATTACGCTATTCCCTAAAATCTGCTTACAATCTGCACAACCATTTCTTACTATAGAAAGATCTTTCTCTGGCCTGATTTCTACCTTTACAGAGCTGTTCAGCCAACCACTTCATATCTAGACACATGGAAATTCTTTGACACATACATAAACACACTTACAAAACTGTTTTGGAATGAGATCCACTCGCATTTTAGAAAAAATAAATGTCAGATAAAGCAGCATCATACTCATCTACTATATGTGGATTATACTATGTTCCTACTGAACACTGCTGACTTTACAAGTGTTTGTGACAATCACGTGTGAGCTGGTGTTTCACTTACCACTCAGAGAAACTGATAAATACTCAATCTTCCCAGTAATGTCACTGCTAAAAACTAAATGCTATTTAACTACCCAAATATGAGATATTATCTACCTCCAGCCATATCCAGTAGCATTTTTAAAAAGAAAAATAAAAGAAAAATCTTAGATACTTTCAACATTCAAGTATTAAGTGCTTGCTTGCGTGTTTGGGTTGGTTTGTTTGGATTTCATTTTATTCCAGTCTCAAAACAAGCACAACTTAAGGTACATTTTCAAAAATCTAGAGAGTACATTATAATAACTGAAAATATGTGTAAGCTATTGAGGGTTCCAGGGTTTTCCCCACAAATTAAAAGGAACCTAAAACAGTGCAAAGAAAGGTAATCATCAGTTCAATGAGAAGTAAAATCAAACTGCAACTCAGAACACACAGCTCTATTAAAGAATATCACTGTGTGGAGCACCACCTCTTGAATCATAAGCTTAAATTTCCCAACAGTGGGAACCTTCAGTTTTTGAAGATCAAATTCATTATTACACTGCTACACTGGAAAATGTCTAAGTGAGACAACTTTTGCTGTATTCATCCATTCCATATCCTAAACTGATTTGACAGAAAGTGTATCGATGGTTAAACACATACATAGTCTCAATAAGGAAGCTACAGGACAGGAGCACTCCAACAAGGAACACTACAACCAAAACATCCAGATGCATTACTTAAAGTTAAAAAAATTGAGCAAAGAATAAGAACTGCTCAGTTCTTTGTTGTTTTAGAACATAGAGGAATCTAGATTCACCTAGACTCCAGCTACAACATTTGCACAATGTTGACCCTAAAACATCTGCTCTGCAATGAGGTCATGTCCTTTTAAGTCACGAAACTGCATGTGTTGAAATCCTGAAAAGACAATAAATGCATTTGCATTTCTGGAAATCCATGACCTGAACAGCAACTGCAAAGTCCACTGCTAAGTCACCTGAAATTTCCAACACAACGTTACAACTGAAGCCCCATCGTCAGTACAAATGCAAGAGGGATGGGAAAAAAGAACACGGCCATTGCAACGCACATACCTTTGTTTCTTCAAGACTTGGGAGTGGCAAGTTCAGAAATTTTTCTGTTAGTCTTTTCCAGCTTGCAGCTTTTCCAAGGTCAGAATGAATTATCAGTTTCTCATGTATTCTAATAATAAAAATAGTATAAAAAATGCTTAAAAAAAAAAAAGAAGAACCAATGCATTATTAGCATACAGGCATAAAACTCACCCTTCTATTGTCCTCTCTACTTTATGACTGTTCACATCAAGAAAACGGTGAAATCTGTGTAAGAAATCTGCATTAGAATACGTTTAAAAGGAAGCTTAAGTAAGGAAGAAAATAAAGCTGATTTATATACATGAAGACAACATTATCTGTTTTAAAATGCACATTTAATGCAGCAACAGCATTAAGTGTTAACAAAAATAAATCTTGGTGTCTCTTAGCTCGAGAAGGATTAACTACAACTGACCTGAAAGACGGAAAAATTGAATGCAGGTTACATTTAACCAGCACTTTAAGCTGAATGGAAAATTACTACTGTATCAGCAACCTAAGGAATTAAAGTATGCTGTCTCCTAAGTCAAGAGGAGCAAGGAGATCAAGAACTGTGTTGTCAAAGGCACTGGTGTCAAAGGCACCAAAATTATCTGGGACTTGCATCACAGGCACAGGCAAAACAAACCCACATGGAAAGGCCTCTAAACCCAAAAGAAGTTCCTTTTATAAAGAGTAAAGGAGAGTGTCTAGGAGAAAAGAGAGCTTAATCAAAAATAAAAACAGATATATCAACAAAGGTATATATGAACAGGGACAAAATAAGAACTCATGAAAGGTAAGATGGACTTTGCAGAATAAATTAGGCTATGAATAGGTTCTTCAGATATAGACAGAAAAAGAACAGAAAGTAAGATGTGGCAGTAGTGAGCACAAGGTCAAGACACTCTATACGTGGGTCATCAATGTAATTTTTCCAGCAACAACTGTACAGAACACAAGGCTAAACTTCTTGTGATCACAAACAGAAATGAAAACTACTGGATTGGAATCATGAGCAAAAGTTAAACTAAACAAACTGAAACTGGAAAGACAATATAAAGTCATCTCAACAGCAAGGTAATGAACTAGAAAATGAAACTGTAGGCAGATCTCAAGTAGCACTGCAAGATGAAGATAGGCTAATATTAAAGAAAAAAATACTTTGTTAATTAGAGACCCATTAGTCTGATTTCAGCTGTGTTCGTATTAGGATTTAGAATAAAAGCATGATAAAACGTATCACTGATCAGGTAGCTGGCATTTAGGTTAAGAAAATACAGCTTATGTCATTTCTTACAGTACATTAGCTTAAATAGGAAATAATTAATTCAAATGGAAAAGGGTGGTAAGTATAAGAACTGGAAGATTTAGAACCTCACATCGGAAAGACAATAAAAAACCCAAACCAAGGATCTGCACTGAAAAGAAAAATTAAGCTGCAGGGAAGTTACTAGCGAAAATTCTTTAGTCTATTACTTAAAGTTTTAATTAATGACCCTAACAGACGCACACAAAAAATTATCAATTTTTTTTAGGCAAGTTGGGAACATCATGAATAAAAGAGGACTAGCATGCTGCATGGAAATAAACAGATGGCTCTGAGAACTACAGCACAGACACATCATCAGATTTAGCAGTACAAACCACAAGTTTCACAAACTTGAAACTAAAGAGAGTTTCTGCTACAACTTAAGGTCTCACTATTTGGAAATATGATACTAGACAATCTCAGGCTGATGTTGCAGGCAACATCATTTCTTGGACAACAATTCTGGCATTAAAAACCCTTCCTCTTCCCAACACTCTCTGTCAAAAGTTTGTTGTTCATTCTGCACGCTCTGTTTTCCTGATATATTGCTTTCAAACATAAAAAAACAAAACCAAAGAAACAATTCCTCAATCTAAAAACGAACACAGCTACACAAGCAACTGGGTAAGCAAAACAGAGGTGAGATTTGCATATTAAAACAGTTTTATTTGAGCCTATTAGTGGTTAGGATTCGCAGACGCAATGCAGTTATGCTATTGCTCCCCCAAAAACAGGCTTCATCAGCTTGAAAAATGTAAAGCAGCATCGATTTTACACCGATTAGGTATTTGCTGCATCAACTTATACAAGCACAGAAGATTCCGAAGAGGCAGCAGTTAGCAACAGTATGGGTAATTAGAAATATATAATGTAAAAGTTTCACAGATTTCGCAGAATATTCTGAGTTGGAAGGGACCCACATGGATCATCGAGTCCAACTCAAGTTGGCAGAAGACACTGAAACAATAACTGTGATAACTGAAGACAGTGTGTAAAACTTGAGTAAAGACACTTAAGGAGGCAGTGTAATTAAAGGGAAAGAGATAATATATATTACAGGTTAATAAAGACCACGTTTCTGACAAGCTCAAATAAACACCAAACACATTCTCTTCTGCAGACTGATAACGCCTCACATAAGCAGCACACCATTCTTGGCTGGAAGTTTTATCTCGATTTGGCAGTCCTCTTTACTTGCTCTACGTATAACCATAGCTTACCTCCCTCCAACAAACAAAAATTTGGAAGCCTACGTGAAAACGCCGGAAGGCGACTTTTTACAGGGCAGGAGAAAACCCCTAAAAGACTGAGATTCGAACGTGACGGAGTATCAGTCACTGACCGCTTGACAGACACTCGCGAACGCCCCGGTGCTCCCCCAGACACGGCGCACGGACACCCCGCAGGCACAGGGACCCTCCAGTGCTCCCGCTGACCTGAAGTTGGACCAGGCGAAATTGAGCGCCGCCTGGAAGCGCTCTCCGCCCAGCTCCTCCTCGGGCAGGCCGGTCACGCAGCGCACCAGGGCGCGGACGGCCCGGTCCTGCTCCTGCTCGAAGCGGCCACGGGGGCCGGGCGAGGCCGGCGGTGCCGCCATGGCCGCGATGGACGGAGGGATACGGAGGGGACAGAAGGGCGGCACCTCCGGTTGGCGACAGGGACCCACCGCCGCCTCCTCCTTCTTCTCGCGAGGCTTCCCTGCGCGGGGCATGCGCGTGGCGGGCAGCGCCGTGAGGGGAGAAGGGGTGGGCGCTGCCCGCACCCTCCGGATCGGTGCTGGGAAACGGTGTGAGGGACGCTGCGGGACCCTCCCTCGCCTGAAGAGGCACCGGCGATCCAGCCGCACTGCTGCGGCATCCCCCTGTCACGGCAATGCCACTTGTCTTCCGAAACGTCCCTACAGAGGCGGGATCACTCGGGATCAGTAATTGGCAATAACTGACAGATCACAGAATCAATTAGATTGGAAAAGACCTCTGAAATCATGGAGTCCAACCTATGACCGAACACCACCAAGGCACTAGGTGCACGCCCAGTTTTTCCTTAAACACCTCCAGAGACGGCAACTCCACCACCTCCCTGGGTAACCCATTCCATTCTTACGTGAAGAAATTCCTCCTTATGTCCAACCTAAACCTCCCCGGCACAACTGAAGACTATAATGTTTAAAGGACAATTACCCATCCAAATAAGGGCTTGTGTGTTCCTCCCTGGCTGAATTCCTGCTTTTGCACAGCTGGATAAGCCACCATTAGTGTATATTCAGCACACAGGACCTGAGCATCCAGTCAAGAGTGCAGTGGGAAACCAGTTTGTCTCAGTTCCATGTCAAACCTTTGCTAAGCAGCTTGAAACGCTTCTGTCCCTCCATGTGATTTTATAGGGCTGCAAGGACAACAGCCTGGCCATGAGATTCCTTCTGGAAAGAAACTAACCAGGTTGGTGGGAAATTATATTATTGACCAATTCCTGAAACAATCTCTCCATTGCTGCAGTTGTCCTGTCCTTCATTGTTGGGCTTTGTCCTGCTTGATCTCATCAACATAAGCCTAGCCATGATGATGATTGGGCTGTAATCCACCCCACCAAATTTTTTTATTCCTCTTCTCCATTAAGGAATATATTGGAACAATGAAAGGAGTAGCCAATAGACCAGGAGGTGTGGTAGGAAGAAGGCCTCAGAAGTGCCGTTTTGAAGCTAAAATATACCTAGTGTACCAATATAATGTGAATAATTATGTAAAAATATAGTGGTTAGTATAAAATAACATTGACATTCTTATAAGTTATGGCATATTAAGAAACACTAATAGGTTTTTACCCAGGTAGGCTACATCTTACCTTAGGGTTGAGATGCAGAACTGCAAGTGGTAGCCTCTGCACCTGCAGGCAGGATGCTCAGCATGAACATGAGGTCAGAGGGGCTCTGCTCCAGGGCCTTTCTTAAAAAGACTTAACTGGAAAAGCATTCAAAGGAAAAATCTATAAAACTTTACTGGTGTTCCTAAATCTTCTCTTCATGTTGTCTGTGTTTTCTACTTTAGATTAGCAGCAGTCTTTTTTTTTTATTTTTCAGTTGATGTAGCCAGTGTTTTGAGCCATACTTTGTTGTCCTTGGTGTTAACTGAAGGTCTGCACAGTCAGTAGACTCTCAAATGGTCTGTCCAACAGTAATTAATAGTTGGAATACAGTGGTTGCATTTAAACAAAATTTTTATATACTAAGACTTCAAGTGTTCTTTATACAATGTAACTGTGGTTATCACCCAACTCCTATATATTTAAGCATACCTCAGCTACCACTTTGATTTCAGTTCAGAGAGGAAGTTCCGGGCTTTGCAACACAACAAGAGCATGTGTGTGTCACCTGGGCTCTTTGTGATGAAAGGAGTCTGGCAGCCACCTATTTCAGCATCCCATCAGAAAAAAATAAAAACAAGAGAGATTTTTGCAATGAGAAAGATTCCACATCTTAACAGCTGCCTCGTGACAAGCTGAGTATCTTGAAACATGGGCTTTAACAACAGCACTGTCTGAAAGGTTTCCTGCTTCCCGACTGCCTCCTACGAGTCCATTTCCCCTCACACCACACCCTCAGCTGTGCAGTGAGCAACACAGTGAAACAAATCAGATCAAAAACAGTCTTGTTTCTCTTTTGCCAGGAGTTTTAACCCTGATCAATTCATTGAACCTTTCCTTTGGAGGTGTCAAGAAGTGAGGGAAGAACCACACTTCCAGGCACTGAAAACCCCCGGGCAGTGAAACTACACCCTCTGTAACTGGTGAATCAGAAATCTGTGGCTGGTTCTCAAAACAGGATACAAGGGCTTAGACAAATGTATAACATCTGTGCTGCCTTACTCATAAAAGGCTTTAATGCTACAAATGTTTTCCTTTTTTTCCCCTCATCATAAGCCTAATTTCTATTTTTGTTTTACCAGTTTACAGTAGCAAGGCTTGGTATTTGATTTCAGCTGGGGAAAGGAGTACTGGACGGGGAGAAGACATGAAGGCCTTCTCTAAAAGTAGGTTTAAACTGTTTTTGAAGTAAGATTTAATGCTAAGAAGCTTAATAGTTTACTTTATATTCTTTGATTTTCATGTGGTAACTGTCTCTTCCTGACCATCTGTCCTTCCAGGTCACACTGCTATGAACTACATGTATTTCAACTAAAGTCTTCCTTGCTCATAGTCTTAGGTCATATTTGGGAGATGTGTTCCTTTTTGTAATGTCATATAAACACCTGTATCTAGTTGCTTGTTGGAGGAGGAATTACAATGCAAATCTGTTTCCGAACTGTGTGTCCTTTAGAGAAACTGCTCTGAGCAGCTCTCGCCCACTTTTCAATCCCAATTGATGAGTCAATTTGTTGAGCAGGATTCTAAGGTAGGAGAAGGAATGCTTGGGGTGAAACACATCAAGCTGCAGGGGACCATTAAACAAGCAAGCTACCGGAGGGTCATGCTTCGTGCATGAGACCAGTCACGTCTCCCATCACTTTCATCAGTCATCTCTGTTATCAACAAAGCATTGGGAAAATTCCACAGAACAGGTGGACAGTATATTTAAAACTCTATGTTTAAAGAAGTACTTAAGATTTTAAGGTAGTTTTTTAAAAATTTTTTTGGTGTATCTATAGAAAGAATTTTTTAATAATTATCTGAAGGGGATTACAGAACACTGTTATTTATCATAAAAATGTTGCAGCTTTAACTTCCCCTTAACACCAGCTTTGGCATATATGAGACTGATATGCTGAACTATCAGTAAAGAGTAAGACCTACCTTTATATGATCATGCAAAAATTAATCCAGGTGACTGAATACCAGAGGAGGCTATAAGCTCATAATTTACAACAGAACTTACACAAAATTGCTTCTGAAAAGCAACAGGAAGATGATGTACCTAGTCTTCATCCTTAACAGGAAGGAGGTAATCTGATAACTTTCTACTACAGTAGTTTTTGAAGTGCACTATAGCTCATCACTCTCAATTCTTCATGTGATGGAGTTTCACAACTGAATATAACGTAGGACAGATTTAAAAAACTGCTGAAACTGATGTTAAGTCTGCTTTTTATAATGTTTCACACTTCCTGTTAGGTGAATGTGTGTTTAAATAGACATCTCAGGGCTTTAGTGAAGAGTATTGTTAACTGTGTGCAAGACCAATAAAGATTTGGTATGAGGTTCAGCTTAAGTCTGTGTGATCCATCCCATGAGGGCAGTAGGGGTAGAGCTGTAATACCTTGTGCTGTTTGGTTTCGTGGAAGACCCAGTCATAGGTTGTATCTCAGCTATCACTATCTCACCATGAACAGCAAATTGCTAGAACATGGAATTGTCTGCCAGAGTTGAAGAAGTGTTTGGACAATGCTCTTAAGTACATGGTGTGATTCTTGGGGCCATCCTCTGCAGGGCCAGAAGTTGGATTTTGATGATCCTTGTGGATCCCTTCCAACTCAGGATATTCTATGATTCTATGATCTCTAGTGTTACTGAATAGTTGCATTTCAACAGTCAGGCTGTAGCTTAGTGAAACTGGATCTTCTCCTCTTTGCTGAAATAATAGTGCTTTACTCTGACTTTTTAATTGGATATAGTACGTCTTCCTTCAGTAATATAGTTGCAAAGGGTGAATAGAGTTGCCCTGGCTGCAAGTTTTCTTACCTGTTTGCAAATTAAGCTGAGAAACCATTCTTTTAATCCTCCATGGGAAGTGAGCTTGACCTTCACAAATGCTAGTGAGTGTTTCAGCTTGTGGAGCTTATTACAGCCATTTATGTTCCGATTCCACTTTCTTCATTTTTCCCACCATTAAACTTCCTTAGACAGTTTTACCATATGCTGCTTTATTTTTTTTGAAAAAAAAAAAAAAAAAAAAAAAAAAAGAAGGTGCTTTCTTCTTTTATTGTACCCCTTCCAAGTAAAAATACATGATGCCATCCAGAGGGACCTCAACAAGCCAGAGAAATGGGATAACAGGAACCTCCTAAAATTCAGCTAGTGTGAAGGGGGGGAACAACCTCAGGCACCAGTACAGGCTGGGGGCTGCCCAGCTAGAAAACAGCTTTGCAGAATAAGCCCTGGGAGTCCTGGTGGGTACCAAGTTGAACATGAGCCACCAATGTGTCCTTGCCATGAAAAGGTTAATGGGTGTCCTGGGCTGCATTAGGAGGAGTGTTACCAGCAGGTTTGGGGGGGCAATCCTTCCCCTCTACCCAGCACCTGGTGTGCTGGGTCCAGTGCTGGGCTCCCCAGTATGAGCAAAGTATGGACACACTGGAGAGAGTCCAGCAAAGGGCCACAAAGATGATCAAGGGACAGGAGCATTTCTCCTATGAAGAAAAGCTGAGGTAGCTGGACTGATTAGCCTGGAGAAGTTTCAGGGGGATTTTAGCAATGTGGGTAAGTACCTGATGGAGGGAGGAAAGAAGATGGAGACAGGCTCCGCTTAGTAGTGCCCAGGACCAGAAGCAACAGGGACAAACCGAAACACATGAGGTTACTTCTGAACACCAGGAAACACTTTTTTACCGTGAAGGCAACCAAGCCATTGGCACAGTCTGCCCAGGGAGGTGGTGGAGTCTCCATCCTTTGAGATCTTCAGAAGTCATTCAGGCATGGTCCTGGCAAACTACCTCTTGGTGGCCCTGCTTGAGCAGCAGGGTTGGACCAGCTGACCTGCCGAAGTACCTTCAAACATCAGCCATCCTATGATTCTGTACCCATTATAACCTCTATCCATGACTGACCCCTTCCTATCTTCTAGCACTGTTCCACATTCACTAGGCTTTTTCCATGTCATTATAAGTTATACTTTCTCTGCTAGAACTGCAGCACAGCATGCCAGGGCGTGCACGAAAAAAACATCCAGTCATTCACCTGGGAACAAAAGAGCTCCAGAGAGATCCTTAACTCCTGTAAATTCCATAGCTCTGTGATCCTCACAGTTCACGTTAGCTGACACACTGATGTCAAGTCCTTGGCCACTGTTACAGTAGACTGCCCAGTCAGAAATGAAAAGCATGTGTTCGCTCCTGGACCTGTCTGCATTGAAGAATCTAATATGAATCAATAAAAGAGCTAGGATTTGATATTATGGTACTAGTGAGCACTCCTTGTCCTATTTGAAACAAATAAGCAGCAGTGGTGCTAGTACCCAAACACACCTCAGTCACCTGGTCCTGATTTTCTACTGCCTTCTACCTTCTGCAGTCATCTGCAACCATGCAAAGGGGAATGAAATAATACCCAGTTCTGTTTACTTGAACAGCCCTCAGAAGTTTCCAAGGGGTGCTTTTTGGAAAACATCTCTTTCTACCTCTCCAGAAAAGCCTACATAGTTCTCAATTCTTTCCAGGCATTATGCTTAAGGGAAGCTGTTTCTACCTCCTGGATGTACAAGTAATCAGCAAATCTGAAATAATTTCAGGTGTTACACTGGAATGAGCAATGCTTTGTCTATTAGACCAGAGAGCTTTCCCATTCTGAGCTGTGACAACATTAGTGTTGTTAAGGGCATTTCTTTCTATTCAGCTGAGTAATGGAATTACAGTGTGTAGCTGGGGCTCCAGTGGCGGCAGTTGGGACTGAATCCGGTTTCCAGGCAGAGAAGAAACAGTGTAAGGATGCCATTCAAGAAAAAATTAAGTACAAGAGAGTTAATTTGGCTTATCCTTGAGTTGCAGATTTCTATTGAACATAGAGTAAATTATGTAATTGATATATAATAGGCTAAATTGCAGGAAACCTGGTAATTTAATATGATTACAAACTGGATTAAAACAGGTTGAAATAATTAGAAGCAACCTTCATTTTTCATTTGAGATAATTGCAAGAAAACTGCAAGTTCCTTTATCTGTGCTGGTAGCAGAGATTAAGACAACTTTCTACCCAAAACACTGGTAATATCTTTGTCTAAAAGAAAAATGACAGCTGCTCAAAAGTTTCTCAGTAATTACCATGGGCATTCTAAGAACTGTTTTGATCCAGTGACCTTCAGAAGGATGAGAGATAGTCCAGGTGGTGAAAAAGGTAGGCAGACCTCAGAGCAGTCTAAGCAGACTTAGCCATACAACCCTGAGAAACGATATTTGTGGGGTGCTTGGTGAGAAGGAGTTTGGTGATGAAAACTGTATCAATTTGTTTGATTCTCTGTATGGTCAAGAAAGCAGAACTCTGTACTTTCTTTTTTGTACAAAGAACTGTGCTGGAGACTAAGATCCTTCATGAGTTTTCCTTTTAAAATCAAATAATCTGTTTCAAATCCCACACTTACATATTGCACAAACCTTTTGCCTCAGTGGGGATGAAATTGTGCCTGCATGCAGTTTAGTCCCACAGCTTGTGAACATCACTATAGAAAAAACACTGTTTCCATTAGATCATGACCGCAGTTTTACAGGAAAATTAGCATTTGCTTTATGCCTTGCAATACAGCTGGCTTACACATTTTGCTGAATTTAGCAAATACATCCCTCTGGAGATGCTAAGCTAGCATAAACTATAAATTATTAAGGTTTCACTAGCCCTTTTATCTAGGTGATCAGAGAACTAGGAATCTTCATCTATGTCACGATTTAACTCTACCCAGCAGCTAATCTCCACTTAGCAGCTCACTCACTTTCCCGTGGTGGAACTGGAAGAGAATAAAGTGAGAAAACTCGTGGGTTGAGATGAAGACAGTTTAATAAGTAAAGCAAAGTCCACACATGCAAGCAAAGCAAAACAAGGAATTCATTCACTGCTTCCTATCATCAGGCAGGTGTTCAGCCACCTTCAGGAAAACTGGAGTCCACCACACATAGCAGTGACTCAGGATGACAAACACTGTCACTGCAAAGAATCCCCTTTTCTTCTTCTTACCCCAGCTTTATATGCTGAGCATGACTTCATATAGTATGGGATATCCCAGTGGTCAGCTGGGGTGAGCTGTTCTGGCTCTGTTCCCTCCCAACTCCTTGTGCACTCTCATACTCCTCGCTGGCAGCGTGGGGGGCAAGGCAGAAGAGGCCTTGGCTCTGTGTAAGCACTGCTCAGTGATAATGAAAACATCCACGAGTAATCAACACTGTTTTCAGCACAAATCCAAAACACAGCCCCAAACTAGCTGCTCTGAAGCAAATTAACCATGTCCCAGCTAAACCCAGCAAAATCCAGCTGATCTATGACTGAGATACCACAAGTATGTACATTTGGGGAGCAGCAGGGGAGGATTGTTTATGTGGTTACTTATACAATTTTCCATGAGAGTTATGAGACTAACCAGAATTCGCCCACCATGACTTTTCAGAGCATTCCCAAAAAAGACACAATCAAGGAGGAAGGATTTGGGAATGGATAATAATGTTTTTTTAGCAGGTCATTCCCAAGTGATAAACCCCAGGTAGCTCTGTGGCTAGGGAAGATGTAATGCCACCTCCATGCTCAGAGGATTTCCCATTGCATAAAACAAGTCTCACTGCTTAAAAAAATACTGGGAGCCAAGGTGGCCTCAACAAGAAATCAACTTAATCTGAAGAATGCAGTGGCCTTTTGCAAAGCATGTAAGAAAGCCAGGTCCTGAAAAGTCCTGTAGATCACACCAGTAATGAAAATTGAAATGAAAATGTGAAATTAAGGTGAGAAACTGGCAAAATGTCTGGTAAAAAGAGAACTTTTA